GGGGGGGGGGGGGGGGGTGAATATTTTCACGAAACGTTTGTTCGCCACCACAGAAACCTAAAATATACTGTATCTCGGGCCCGCAGTAATTGGCTATTCGCTGTTGCGATCACCCAGCCGTGGTCATGTACCTACTGTATTTCATTATGTACGTTTCTTTTTGTCCTGTAATGTATGTACTGTTTCATCGGCAAAGTTTATAAATTAAAAAAAAAATTAATTTAGCTAAGCCCCGTTTACACTACGCTCAATTTTTGGTACCGTACACTTTTTGGTTCTTGGACTACCTAAATAGGTAGTCCAAGAACCAAAAAAGTGGTACGGGCACCAATTTTACCGTTGCCGTACCAAGTGTAAACGGGGCTTTAGTGGGCCCGACTCCCATGAGGCGCTACCATGGTTGGCGCCGAGCAGGGAAATTTTGAAAAGTTTGAGTCTCTAGATCGTTGCAAATGGCATTTTCGAAGTCTTCTTTTTTGCTATTTGTGATTATAGAAATCAGAACTCTAAACATGGTATTTAAGTTCAAAAACTTTTTGACCCCCCCCCCCCTTTCTCTGGTTTAAAACTTTTTTGACTCCCCTACTCATAAGGGTAAAACTTCGTTTGCCCCCCTCCCATTTACCAACCCCCCTCCCCACAAATAATAACCACTCCCTTCACAACAAAAATCATGACCAAAGACACCAAAAACGGATCGAAATTGTATTTTAAAATACTTAAAACGTGGAAAAATTTGGAATCGACTCACATTACCTCAATCCCATTCCCATTTTTGAGGACTTTTCCCATTCCCAGTGGCCAAATCCCAGTCCCAGCACACAAATCCCATTTTCCCAGTCTAAAAATAGATCAATCCCAGTTCCCATTTTATATTACCCCTTCAGGACCCCCCTATTTGGGTAAGAATGTAAAGCCCGGCGCACATGCACTAGAGCTATGTGCTTAGCAAAATATCACTCGTGACTGTCGGCGTCAAGAGAAAACTCTCGTGTTCGGTGCACTTTTGTATGTTTTTGGTCACTCGTGACGCATAATTATAAAACAAATATTCAACGTGCGCGTGTTGAATATTTTTTCTCCCGCGTGCAAAACCTTGCGTGCGGCGAAGCGAAAGGAGCAAGCTAACGATTACCAGGCGATGCGCATGCCTGTTTAAGGTTGAAATCAAACCAACAGTTGCGACACATAGTGAATTGGTAGACGATGCAATGTTGGAGGACCAAATTGCCGATATTTGGCCAGAACATCCATGTTTGTACGATGTCAGATCACATGCAGCACTTCATTATTCCAATTTCTCCGCGATTTCTGCATACGCTTTTTCTCGCATGTCCCTGTTTTTGAAGTCCTGTGATCTGAAATTGGCGTACAGACATGGATGTTCTGGCCAAATATCGGCAATTTGGTCCTCCAATATTGCATCGGCTAGCTTTGATTTCAATCGTTTATGCGAAAAAGATATTCGATCTACATAACTGATAGGATTGTGACCACTAGCACTGGCCAGATAGTGCTTTTATAAGCTGCTATTGTGAATATTCAAGAAATAGAAAACGAGTCGCGTGCGTTTATGGTGTGATAATGCACGCGGGGAATGTTGGGAGAATACGAGAGTAGCGTGTCTCCAAGTGCATTATCGCACTATAAACGCACAAGACGATTTTTTCTATTTCTTTTATAAAATAAGT